CGGCCTGAAATGGGCTGCGGACCAAGGTCTGCTTGAGTGGTATTCAGACGAATTTGCAGACGAAGTTCACATAGATTGGTTCAACTTTGTGAAGCGGCCCTGGAGAGAAGGTGAAGAAGGTGTGCGGGTTTCGTTCTCTGTTGAGCGGGCTCCGTTCTCTGTTGGGCGGGCTCTGTTCCCTCATGATGGTTCTTATGCTTCTGTTTCGGTGAAGTGGTCTCCAGATGACAAGTGGATCGCGTCAACTGGATATAATAAGTCTTTGTCTCCAAATTTGTCTCCAAATTCTGATGTTGCAATTGATGAAAATGGGAAACCAAGCAGAGTCGGAGTCGGAGTTATGATCTGGAATTGGGAGACAGGTGTAACATATCGGTACCAGTGCCAGCTCGAGAGATATTATAAGGATATATATTCACCACCCGATCCGCTGGAATGGTCTGACGACGGACGACGCGTAGCCCTTGGAATTGGAGAAGAGCTTGCGATATGGGATATTGAGACAGGGGTGATGTTAAGGTGCACAAACAGTGAAGAATATCGAATGAAGATTGCGCAGATTGCTTGGTTCCGGGACGGGTCGCGAATAGCGACGTTGGGTACTACAATGTTTGATGGAGGAGGAAAGTTGCGAATCCTGTCCGTGACGCTGTCCGTGACGAGTCAAAGCGCTGTCTGCGAAAAGCAATACGATGGTGTTGGGTATCTCAAAGAGAGCGATCTGCGCCAGTTCATCGATACGAATGAGGGCAAACTCACGGCGGCGGATCTAGAGAGGAAACTGGAGAGGAAACTGAGGATTCGGCAAAAGCAAGATGAAGATGGAGTGTTCTACAAGACAGGAGATGACGAAATCCGCCTAGCAACCGTTGCGGGAGATCGTTGGTTCTGTTCTACTTCAGGTCGGCACATTGCGATCCAGGTAGAAATTGGTTCTTATGCAAGACTGCACTTTTACGAGCTCTTGGAGTAGTGTGATTGTGAGTGTGTGAATAACCACTGGGCAAAAGGGGATGTCCCGGCCAGGACAGGAGGGGTTGTACCCACGGTATATGTAGTAAGGGATGATGTGCCAGGAGAAATTTGTATGTATTTGAAGTTGTTTCTAGTTACCCGACGCCTCGATGCCCCTCTCCGCAAAAAAGTAGCCGGTACATCTTTTCTATGCGTCGCGCGCAGTTGCGTCAGTGTGCGGGGAATAGTGTCGTCCAACGTAGAGACTGCGCGTAGCGAGACCAGCAAACAAAACTGGAGGCGGAACAGGCACATACGATATCAGTCGTAGTATGAAGTTCAAGATATGCACGGCGGATTTGCAGTGGTTTTCGCTTTGTCAGGTATTAGAAACTTCGTTTCCGCCAGGAAACGAAACCTTGACGACGGTGTTGACGACGGTGTTAGCGTTGAGGTTGACGGCGTGTGTAGCGTCGAAGACGGGCGGTGGTCGGGAGGCTGTGGCTTGTTGGTAGTGGTGGGGGGAGCATGATGGAGCATGAAGAGGTTGTGTGAAATGGAGGTGTTGGCTTGTTTGGCCACGGGCAACTGCTCGTGCACGGACACTCTCACATTAATGTGTATTAATGTGTAAGTGTGTTGAGTGTCCCTGTTCCAACCATCTCTTAAGAGATGGTTGGAAACAGGGAGGAAGAAGACAGGGGTACGGGATACCGCCGTGGCTATCCGATCAGCACTTGTTTGTGGTTACACCGTCAAGTAGACCGAGGCCAGGCACTCTTCCTTGTGCTCGGTGGGATGGCCAGAGACGACATTGTTTCCTGCCGCGGCCATTCTTGCTCGCCGGACATTCTCACTCACCGGAGGTACGACAGTCAGAAACACGTTGCAACCTGAATGTGATATATACATGTATAGTGAAGTCCCTTCTGCAATACATTTCACATACCGTACGTGTACAAAAAATGGCGGGAGAACGAGAGAACGAGTGTGTGTTTTGTTCACCGTCGAGGGCTTGGATGACGTGAGGATGAGGGTGTCGTCGGCGGAGGCGATCGGGATAGAAAGGGGGGGAAACGAGAGGGCGGCGATGGGAACGGCGGTGCACGGCGGTGCACCGGGAGGGGCGAGTCTAATGGCCATTTCTGAGTTGTGAGTTGCTGCATTTTTCTTTGCTCAAGACCTTGTTTCAATTAAAAAAGCGTTTATATAATTTAATACTGTAGCGCACAAGGGCCGACTCTCAGCACCCGGCGCCTACCGCTACGTGATCAACTTTCCGTGTTGCCAAACCAAAGGCATCAACCCCTCCTCGTCCTTCTCCGGCACCTTGACGCCGTCTTGACGCCGTCAATCTTCGTCAAAACAATGTGATGGTCCTGCACATCCTCGGTATGCTCAATCGTGCAACTTGCCGTGTCCTATCCTCCTTCCCCAACGCAGCCCTCGTCACGTACCGCTCGGCAATGTCCTTCTGCCTTGTCGAAAGCGCGAACAGCCTCACGCCCGCCCCGACCCCGCCGAGCCCCGCGTAGAACGCGCTCGAGTGCCCCACATTGAAGCATATCATCCCGCGCGCCGCCGCAGGCACCGTGACGGACGTCGCCGTCATCGCCAGATCCTCCCCGTGGGCCGCGCTGGTTGACACCACCCACATCGCCGACGGCATCTGTCGCAGCAACGTTTTGGTTTGCTTGTCCAGTGGGTAGAACGGCAGCTTGGAGCGCGGTACGTCGAGTGCCACCGCGCGCTTGGCAAGGTACGTGTCTCGGTAAATCGCCTGCACGAATTCCGCCTCGCCTAGGCTCACCGCCGTTACCACCGCCTGTACCACGGCGCACCCGCCCACGACGGAGATGTTCTTCAGCGATAAGTCGGCCGTGACGCCTGTCTTGCGCTCGTCCAGCATCAGTGACGAGGATGATGATGATGACGACGTCGAAGGCCGCGGCGCGAGAAGCTCCACCCTTACCTGGTTGAGGGGGTCTTCCGCGACGAGCGACGCCCTTTTGAAAAAGTCGTCATCCGTCACAAATAAGACCACCTGCTCCGGTTGCATGGAGCACCCGCGAAAGTTGTCAAGTTCAATCTCCGCCCCGTCAAACGTGCACCGGTAGTAGTTGGTCACTGTGTGGTGCCCAATATCACCAACCGCTTGCTGCCGCTCTGCGGCGGAGAGGCCCTTCTCATCGCCGGAGCTCGTGGACGTGGAGTTGGGCTCGCTCCGCAGGGCGGGGCTGAAGATGTTTGCCGAGTAGAGGCTCTTAGCGGGTGCGCTGGGCCACGTGGCTTCGGCGCGGTCCATTGCGCAATACCCATACACGGTGTCCGGGTGGCTGTCGACGAGCTGCTGCAGAAAGGCCACGGCCTGCGGCAGGCGGTCAAACGTCATCGACGCAGTGGCGACGGCATCGGCGATGGCGCACGTCGACGCGGCGACGCACACCGACGCGACCGACATCTGGTTGGCCTTCATGACAGACAGCGTGTCTGCGCGCGCGATATGGTGGAAGCCGTAGCGCTGCACGGCAAAGTAGTCGCCCGACGTGGCGATGGCGGCGCCGTCAAGCTTGCCGGCGTTTGCGCGGTCGAACGCAAAGTCTGCGAAGAAGGCGACGTCGTCGTCGCGCAGCAGCTCGTCCATGGTTCCGTCCTTCCAGTGCCCGAATACGCGCTTCAGCGACGGCGGGGCCATGACGGCCGAGCGCCACGGCCTGCCGTCTGGGTGGTGGCCCTGCGCGCGGATATCGCCGGCCCAGTCCACGTAGCAGTTCGGGTGTCCAGCGTTGACGAGGGCGGCGACGAGCAAGTCAATCACGAATCCCTTGGCAATGCCGTCGACATCCACGATGGTGTTTGCGTTGCCACGCGTGACGGTGTCTGCGGTGCGTGAGATTCGCTTGCGCCAGCCGATGGCGTGCTTGTACCGAGCCGTCTCCGCCGGCAGCGGCGGGCGTGCGTTGTCGGCGATGCAGTTCTCGTACGCGCGTGAGATGACGCCAGTGGTGGGGTCGAAGCGGCCGCCTGTGAGGTCGAAGGCGCGGTCGACGACGTCGAACAGGGCGGCGAGGTGCGGCGAGAGCGGGCGTGGCTTGGCGGGCTTCTGCGAGTTGACGGCCGTGAGCTCGCTGGCCGGGTTCCACGCGTTGAGATAGGTGTGGGCGTGGGCGAAGACGTCGTCCGCGAGGCGCTGCACGGCGGGCGCGTCCGCGACGGTCGGGACGAGGACGACGTACGGCATGGTCATGGCGACGCCGACCACGCGCGTCAGCGGCTCCGGCGGCGGCGGCGGCGGCGAGGACGACGCGCGCGGCACGCGCGAGACCTTGGACAGCGCGGACGTGGCCGGGCGCGACAGCGTCAGGCCATCGCTGTTGAGCAGGCCGTGGAAGGCGACGGCGGCCGTCGAGCCGGCGACCAGGCTGGCGGAGGAGGCGGTCTCGTGCGTCGCGACGGGGGCGGGGCGCGGCGGCGCGGGCTTCGCGGGCGCGGGCGCGCGCGCGGAGGTCTCGGAGCGCGGCTTGGAGGGAGTGCAGCCCATTGCGGATGATGGGGAGCGGAGGATTGAGGCTGGGCGCGGATGTCGGAAGGTTGGGACATGTCGTATGAAGGTGCAGGGGATAGCGGGAGATGCGGAGGACGGAGACGCACGACCGCGCACGAAAGGCGCAAGAAGATGTCGCCAATATGATTGTGATAACCACTGAGCAAAAGGGGAGGTGCCGCTGACCAACGACATGAGGGAGGAATGACTGTCTGGGCCGTTCAGAGAGTCATTCCTTCCATATCAAGGAATCACCACAATGATCGGCCTAACCGCTGACACATCGCACACGTGGATACTGGGGCGTTTGTACTTGCGGGGAGGGCAACTACTTGTAGTGATTTGTATTTAGTAGCGGATGACAACAGGCACATGTGGACACGGGTTTTTTAATTGCAGTGGGAGCCAATTACTTTGGGTGCTTTGTACTTGGAGACCGAAAACCCTTTTCGCCCCCGCGGCTGCTTTGCATTCTTCATCTCTCTCTCGCTGCCCGCAGCTCCTCCCTCCCACTCACCTCGCCATGTCCACCGCGTCCAAACAATGCGACTTAAAGACAGTTCGCCACTTGCTACCGAGCCAACAGCAATCAGCAGAAAACAGTGAGGAAAAAGAGCGTTTTTGCGCCTAGCTCGCCATCCTTCCCGTCCACCTCAGGCCCTGGCCACTCCACCCGCTCTTTCGAGCGACGTTGTTATCCGCCTCAAAGAGACCGGTGGAGGAGCGACGAGTCGAGCAAGAGATCTTGGTACACAGGCAACGCACCCTAGAAGTGTAATAACTCGGTGCTAGAGCACGTTCAGACACCTGGCACTCCAGTCCACATGTATTGAACAGAGACAAATTGTACCTGGCACTCTAGCCCACAGGTACTTCAACAGACAACTAGTACCTTGCAATCCAGCCCACAGGTACGTAAAGACAGACAGGAACTTAATCGGGTTTTAATCGATTGCGTAATGTGCCAAAAACCCCGTCTCACAGCTGTTACACTGTGAAGCTGACTAGATAGCTTGATAGGTGCTCGTCGGGAGCACCCCTTTAAAATGAAACTCGGATTGGACACCGACTCGCCGATGTCCGAAGGTACCCCCGATGGGCGTGGGGGACAGCCTGTCCGAGGCGAACACTAGATCGGCTGGTTCGTTCTGAGGAAATACTTCTCGTTGATAATCGTTGATGTTCGGTTGGTAATGGGTGAGGTTAGTCCTCCAAGCCCACCACAAGTCGACCTTTTATAGAGTTCAAAAATCTAAGCTGGTACAGGAAACCGTGGCTTAGTAGCTCTGGTGAAAACCTATACAGCTCAGCAAAAAATACACAACTACCAATAAAACTGCGTGTTAGGCAGAGAGTACCCTAAAATTACAGCAAGGACAACGTATAGTGTGTGCGCTGGCGTATTACACTTGTAACTCGTGTGTACGTTGACAGCGAGGTCCAGCGCAGCACAGCAAGGTTACTTGCATATCCCAGCCGGGTCTTGATGCTTTCAGATTACACTACTGTTGCGCGTCGGATATCAGGTTTCTACGCCACACGTGGCAGCTTCGTGGAAATGCGCCTAGATCCCAGGATCGAATCACCCAAACTGTGCGCGCACAGTTTGGCTGCCCGCCGCTGACCGACAGTGGCGGGCGGGAAAGCCGTCCCGCGGGTGTAGGCGAGACCGGGACCGTTGGAGAGAGCGAAGTGGCGGGGAGAGACGGCTGGAGGTAGGAGCGCCGCGCGCACGGGCGGTGTGGTCGCAGGCTGCAGGAGAACGTTCGGAACATGCGGGTGCGGTCGGACGCAGAAGTGAGGAGCACTGCAGGCGCGAGAGGAAAGCTAGGTACGCGAACGGCGAGGCAGGACGCAGGAGGGAATCGGGAAGACGACAGGGGAGCGCGAATGGTAGGCCCTGGGTGGCGGCTTCAAAGTCGTCGGCAACGGGCCAACAGGATCGATCCCATGCCGACACTGCCGACAGCATGCGATCCGAGACCCGCTTGGCGTTCACCAAGACTATAAGATAGAGATCGCTGGTAAGAAATGTAGGTATCGAGGCAGCAAGTGGAAACGAAAAGGTAAACTAGAGGTTATCACGCGGGCCTTTTGCGCTCTCGGTCGGTGAGGTATGCGGCTTGGGCTAGCCGCAACATAACAAATTTGTTAGTGAATACCACATCTCGGTGTTCAGGTCTGGATTGACAGGGACAAGGAACAAGGGCCGTGTTTACGATGAGTGCACCAGTGAAGAAGATTAGAACAGGACCGGGAAGCATGGCGACGAAACAACAGGAAATGGAAGAGCAATTTGCTCGAATGACTACCAGTGACGAGGGGAAAATCTGAAGGAGCCGACAGCCGAAGGGGGCTACCGGAAATCGGAACTGAGAGCTGGCGGTCTCGCCCCATCGGAACCACTGCAGTCCATGAAGGAAGTGATGGAGGCCATCCTCGTGAATCTGCAGCAGAATACCCCGGCGATAAGGGCCATTGGCGACGTGGTAGGAGATCTGGGAGTCCTCGTAGAGGCGAGTTCGGCCAAAAGAGGTGCCGAGGTACGCGGTTTCCAGCAAAGCTTTCTGGAGGCTGCGGAACTACCGGGAGGGCCAGCGCCTCCGGCGCGACTGGCGTCGGCACACCCACCACCAGGCAAGGCTGAACAAGGAGAAACATCTCCTGCTTCGACAAGAGAGCTATCCGTCGTATCCATTGATGACAACGACCTTCTGAAGCCCGGCACTGCGTTTCAGATTTATGACAAGTCTCTTGAACCGGTACGCATCTCAGTCGCAGGGGATAAGAATTTCTTCGCAGCACGGAGGGCGTGGAGACGCCTCACTCAAGATTTTTCGGGGCGGCGCAAACTCCATCGCCGCGTACTCGCCTGCGCCTTCACGGGAACCGCCCTTTCCATCTTCGAGGCTATCGCGTCGTCAAACCTTGACTGTGATGCAGATGAGCTCTGGAGCTTGGCAAAGGAGCGGTTGTGCAATGGAAGCCATCAGCACCAAATGAGGACCAGGTTTAACCAATTGGCATGGCACGAGGGTAGGGAAACTCTTAACCATTTTGCGCCCCGAGTGCGGGCGGCCGCGCTAGCCCTTCCCGAGCCGGTGTCGGACGATACAATGCTGGACCGATTTATTCAGTCTTTGCCGCCAAGCCTGCAAGACTTGGCCATTTCAGTCCCTGGCTCGTTCGATGAAGTAACCGGTAGGGTTGCCATGATGTCCGCCTCTACCACCCCAGACATCGGAAGGGGTAGGTACTGTAGCATAAACACCCCAACGACAGGGGTGTATGCTCAGTCCGCGTAAGAGACCCTGTAGAACGCGAGAAGAACAGAAAGGTCCAGTAAGCAACGCGTGAGGAAGGACGCGGGCCGGTAGCGGTGGTAGAGCGGGTCGGGTCGCGAACGCGTTAGTGTATGCGGTAGAGCGGATCGACGCCTCGACGCCCCGGCGCGGTACTGGGTGACGTTCCAGTACCGACGGGCGGAGGCGGATCCTAGCTTGCACGCGCACGTACGCGTCCGCTACCCGTGTCCTTCTACTCTAAAACGCGAACAGAGAGAGCGTCCCCGAGTTAGAGTAAGCGTTCCAGGTTAGCCGACGGTGAGGGTCTGGCCAAGCCGATGCTTGCTTGTAGCATAACCGCCGACTATTGTACTATATATTGGATTTAGAATTAGATCTAATGCCGTAAGGTACGGACCTTACAGCGTGCGCGCGCATACCTTACAGCGCGCGCGCACCAACACGTGTACCCTACGTGTAGCACACGTGTGCTGTCAGCCCCGACGGCTGACAGCGTTACAGTGCGGGCCGGCCCGCACTGTCTACAGTAAGCCAACTACAGTACAGTCCATACTGTACTGTAGACGGTTAATTAACTTGTACAATAAATATAGGGAGCGACCGCTGGCGGAGGGGACCAAGCTAGGCAACCCTGCACCGACGGTCGACCACCCAGCTTACTCTACTCACACCGCCGTTCCGCGAGTAGTTACCACCGAGCGGGTAGTGGACGCGCGCGACACCGCGGCGAGCTGCGATCCGCCTCCGCCCGTCAGTACCGGATCGTCAACCCACACTGCTCCCGGGCGTCGAGGCGTCGATCTGCTTGCCTACGCGCGCGTCCCCGCCGACCACGCTCTACCACCCGCTACCGGCCCGCTTCCGGTGGCGTTGGTTGGTTCAAGACCCTCGGTACGCCGATCCGGGGTCTTCCGCCGAACATCGCGAACACCCCTCCGCCGTGTGTGGGGTGTTTATGCGACATTGCCTTCCCTCCGCCGCCGTCGGTTCCCGTGGTTTAATATACAGTTACGGGTCTATCGCGTCTATCATACAGGGCTACAGTACAGTCTGTACTGCACCGTAGCGCGTTACAGTGCTGAGCTACCATGCTCAGCTACTGTAGCGCGTTACGGTGCTGAGCTACCATGCTCAGCTACTGTAGCGCCGTCAATACGTGTGACCGCGCGCGCTGTCGATACACGTGTGATCGGGCGCGAGTGATCTAATTCTAAATCTAATTCTGATCCGCGCTTATGCTGCACGGCCCCCGTCACAAGTGTGAACGTCCGCGTTCACGTTGGCTTGTAGGACCGGTCACTCCCCTGTCCCCCAGCAATTCGGGTCCGCCCAGAACTTCCTTGTGATACTCCCCTGTCTTTTTGCGTCGGTTAGCGGTTTCTTGCTCGACGCTCCTCGTACCCCGCGGTTCGTCCGGACCCTTCGTGCCCTTTTCGGCGTTCGAGAGCGACGGTTCTCGCGTTTTCCCGTCCCGCCTCCGGCTGCCCCCCCGTTTCTCTATCTTACCTTCCGTCTTTCGCGCCGCCTTCTCGTACCGGCGTCGAACACACCTTGCCCCCTCTCCCGGATACCGCCCCCTATGAACGCTTTTGGTCCGCAGGAGCCCCTGCCGACGTCGCCTGCCCGCTCTGCCGGTGACCCGACCGAACTAAGGGCGTCTGCCGTCGAGACCCCCGCCCAGGGCGGTCCGGGGTCGTCGGTCGCGTTGCCCGGCGCGCGTGAGGCGAGTGGCGCGACGACCCGCGCCGCGTCTGCTCCGGCGTCGCGGTCACCGTTTCAGAAGTCTCGCTTGTCTGCGGCCTCCGTCGAGTTGGTGGCTCCGTCCGTGGCCGCTATGGGGCCAGTGTTGGCGTTTCATCCGGCATCCGCCGGCGCCGGTGGCCGTAGTTCCGACCGGAGACCAGGGCGCGCGGAGTCTTCGCCATACCCCACCCTCAGTAGCACCGGAAGCGGTGGACTCGTCCCCACCTTACCAACCTGCTTTAGGCTCCCTCGGGGCAGACGGCAGTTGCCGATGGCCGCTAGGGCAGGGGGGAACGACCGGCCCCATTGTCGAAGCGGGCGGGGAGGAGCGGTTCTCCGTCACGCAGTGGTTCGGTTCTTCGTAGTCCGAGGCCCCTCTCCTTCCTGTTCGCGATCTACAGTACCCCTGGCGGCGTCACGCTTGCTCGGGGGGTCACCGTAGAGGGGGGCGTTTCTCGTGGGCGGCTTCGCCCCGACTTGGCGCGCTTGCTCAACGTGTACCACGCCGGTGGTTTAGAGGAGGCGACCTCGGTCTTACACCGCCGGATAGCGGAGGGAGACGGATCGGGCTATCAGCTCCCGG